CGAGCTCAAAACGATCCTCCTACCTCAGCCTTCTGAGTGCTGGATCACAGGTAAGTGCTGCGGTTACAGGCAAGTTCAGCCTTCTTTGGGTTAGCTAAAAATGTTAGGTTGGAAACCATGTCCTCATAACTAGAGACAGTTAACCAGAAGCTCTTCTGCCCTTTCCTCCTCCAGTCTATCAGGCACTGTCCTTGGAAAACTGCTACCAGCTCAGCTCTTTTCAGAACTGATTATACCTCGGAACCTTGGAGTCCTTTTTCTTTTCCTGTTCCTAGGAGCCTCCAAGTTGCAGGGAATGTCCTTAGAGTGACCCACATAAGCAGAATATATGTCTAACCATCTTCATTTTGCCACATGTCCATCATACCCAGTTGGGTATCACCCCATACCATGTATGAATCATTACTTTGCTCTTTTTTGTTTTTGTCCTTTTGAGACAGGGTCTTGCTGTGCAGTTCAGGTTAGCCTTGAGCTCACTTTGTAGCCCAGGCTGGTCTTGAACTCACAGTGATCCTCCTGCCTCAGCCTCCCGAGTGCTGGGATTACAGGCGTGCGCCACCGCGCCTGGCCCATTTCTTTGCTCTTTTATCTTGCCTACTCCTTCAAAAATTATCCCATGATAATTTTTTTTAAAGAACTTTTGTTGGGGGAAAAAACAAAACCAAATTTATTCTGGGAGATCCCCAAGGTTGTTATAGCTCTAATATTTTTAACCATAGGAAACTATGTTAATGGACCCTCCTTGCATTTTCAGGTAACATGCATTTCACAGTGGCCTTCTGGAGACAACGCCTTAACCCAAAGAAGTGACTTGAACAGTGAGAACTTCAGGTATGGTTACATTCCTCTGAGGCAGATTTGGGGACAGGATGGTGCAGAGGGCAAGCCCTGGTCATATAACTGCTGTGTAGAGGGTGTGGGGAGAGAGTAGTATTGATGCTAACTATATTATTTGGTTGGAGAATAGGCAGTTTCCTCTTGCATCTGAATCCAAGAGCTCCCTCTGCAAGGAATATCCTTTGAGCCACACTGTCTCTTAATTTGGGTCCTCTGACTTTATTATTTTTATATAGTTCCTTATGTATGCACACTTCCTACTTGTATTGTTTTATACATAATTATCTCCATAAACTTGTTCAGACATGTGCATGTGTATGGTTAAGAAGTGGAGGAATTAAAAAGAAGACAGCACAGGGTGATAAAAACAAAATGAAAAGAAAAGATCTAGGTTCTTTCTTAATTTTTGTCACTGACAAACCATGTGACTTTTGGTCTTATTGGGCCTCGCTTTGCATTTCTTTAACATAGATATATTGATTCTTACCGCCTCCCAGCATTACTGTTAGAATCAAATAAAATAATACATACTAGAGCTTTAGGAAAGAAAATGAATTCATGATTTAAGACATTATCTAGATCCACAAGGTGGGAGAAGCTGCTGCAATATTATTTTATTCACAAGTTAAGAGGGAGATGAGACAGACTGTTGCTTAAGAAAATAAGTAGAACGTAAAGTCAAGCAGTAAGAGCATAGGGAGTGAATGAAATAGAGCAGGTGAATTGTTAGGTAAGAAAACTGAATAGGGAGAGTTAAAATAAAACTACCATAAGATCCAGCAACCTTACTTTCTTTCTTTTTTTTTTTTTTTTTGGTCTTTTTGAGACAGGGTTTCACTGTGCACTTCAGCTGGCCTTGAACTCACTTTATAGGCAAGGCTGACCTTGAACTCACAGTGATCCTCTTGCCTCAGCCTCCCGAGTGCGGGATTACAGGCGTGATCCACCATGCCTGCCTTGTCACTTTTGAGTATACATCCAAAGGAAAAAAAATCACTACCTCAAAGAAATACTTATACTTCTGTGTTCCTCACAGCATTAACCACAGTAGCCAAAATTATGAAAACACCCTAAGTGTCTGCCTAAAGATAAATGAATAAAGAAACTGTGGAATAAGCTGGGCATGATTGGTACACACTTGCAGTCCTAGGTGTAATTCACAACAGGAAGATTGTGAATTTGAGTATAGTATGGGAAATTTAGTGAGATCCTATCTCAAAATGAAAAATTAAAAAAGGATGGGAATAAAGCACAATGATAGAGTGCTTACCTAGCATGCATGAGGCCGTAGATTCAGTCCTTAGCATTGCAAAAAAAAAAAAGAAATTGTGGTGTACATTTATAATGGAATATTATTTGAACTTGTTTATTTTTTGCCCCCAACCTTTATTTATTTATTTTTGATTTTTTTGAGACAGGGTCTCTCTATACAGTTTAGGCTGGCGTTGAGCTCACTGTGTAGCCCAGGCTGGTCTCGAACTTGCAGCGATCCTCCTGCCTCAGTCTCCTGAGTGCTGGGATTACAGGCTAACCCTGACCTTTTAAAGAAAGGAAATTTGGCTGTTTGGGACAATATGGATGAATCTTAAAGATACTAACCTAAGTAAAATATGTTACAGAAAGGTGTGATCTCACTTATATGTGGAATCAAGAAAAAATAAACTCACAGAAATGGAGAGGTGGTCATCAAGGGCTTGGGAGAGGGAGAATGGGAAAGATGGGGTGAAACTGGTCAGAGGGTATAAACTTGTAGTTGTAGGTGATTGTGGTGAATAATCAACTGGGCTGGGGATGTAGCTTAGTGTGAAGGCCCTGGATTGAGTCCCTATACTGCCTTCCCCAAATTCTGGAGCCCTAATGTACAGGATGATAGCTGTAGTTGATAGTAATGTGTGCTTGAAATTCACTAAGAGTAGAATATAAAAATTCTCACTACAAAAGTAACTACAGTGATGGATATGGTAATTGGCTTGATTTTATGACATTACATGTAGTATACATATATGAGAGCATCCCATTATACACCTTGAATGTATAGAATTTTAATTTGTCAATTATACTTCAGTAAAGTTTGGGAGGGTTAAAAAAGAAAGAGTGGTTCTTGCTGAACCCTAACCTTGAGATTATCTTTGTCATCATGACTGTCTTTGACATCCCTATTCATACTTAGGTTCTTGCTATTACTGTAAATATTAATCTTTTTTTTTGTCTTTTTGAGACAGGGTCTCGCTGTGTAGTTCAGGCTGGCTTTGAGCTCACTTTGTAGCCCAGGCTGGTCTCGAGCTTGCAAAGATCATTCTGCCTTAGCCTCCTGACTGCTGGGATTACAGGGGTGAGCCACCATGCCTGGCCTGGCCCTTTTTTTTTTTTTTTTTTTTTTTTCTGGCCCTTTTTTTTGAGACAAAGTTTCATTGTATAGTTCAGGCTGATCTTAAACTTACTATGTAGTGCATGCTGGCCTCGAACTCTGTTTGTTTGGTTTTTTTTTTTTGGTACCAGGAATCAAACTCAGGACCTTGCGCTTATTAGGCAGGCACTTGTGTCACTGAGGTATATCCCCGGCCCTTGAGCTCATTTTGATCCTCCTGCCTCAGCCTCCCTAGTGCTGGTATTATAGGTGTGTGCCACCACGCCCAGCTGTAAATATTAATCTTTACGATTCATTCATCTTTGTGAACTTTGAGTCTATATTTTTGTTAATTGCCCTATAAATGCTTGAGACAGATAATGTGATTTGCTTATTGTGGCACCCAGTTAAGTGAATGCTTAATCTGTTCTTTTTGAAAATTACAGAGAGGAGATAGTGGGATGACTTGTAAGAGATGCTAGAAAATAAGTGGGGGGCTGATGATACAGCTCAGTGGCACAGTGCTTGCCTGGCAAGTGTGAACTTCTGAGTTGGATTCCAGGTACAAAAAAAATAATAAAAGTGGGTAAGAGAAAGTTACATGAGATGGTAAGAGGAAAAAGTCTCAGATGACAAAAATCAAGAACATGGAAATGAAACTGTAGAGAAAAAAGAGGAAAAGGAGATGGTGTTGGTGGTGGTTAAAAAAAAAAGGCAGCTTTCACACCCCTGCCCTTCATTTTGATATCATTCCCAGGCCTTTAAACAATTTTAATGTTTATTTTGTATTGTTTTTGTTTTTTGCTCTGGCAGAAAATTTGACTACATTTTGTTTTGTATTGTTTTTTGTGTTTTTGAGACAGGGTCTCACTGTAGAGTTCAGGCTGACCTTGAGCTCACTTTGTAGCCCGGGCTGGTCTTAAACTCACAAAGATTGACTACATTTTGCTCATATCAGAGACTTTTCATGAAACTAAGATTAAGGATGACAGACTAATTAATCTGGTGGAGAAAATTTCAAGGCAACTCAATGTTCAGGCTGTAGCTAGGTACTGCTTGTTGCTTTTAACAAGGGTTAAACCAAGAAATGGGAGTAAAAAGCCCATTTAAAAAGTTTTTAGGGCTGGGGATATAGCCCAACAGCACAAGCACCTGCCTGGCAAGCACAGGGTCCTGAGTTCAATTCCAAGTACCAAAAAAAAAAAAAAAGAGAAAAAGAAAAAATTAAACAGTTAGGCTGGGGATATATAGCTCAGCAGCACATGCACCTGCCTGACAAGCACAAGGTCCTGAGTTTGATTCCTGGTACCCAAAAAAATAAAAAGTTTTTAGTTTCCTAAGAAAGGAAGAGCCGGCAGAGTGGTACATGGGAGAGCAGGATTGCTGAGAAGCTTAAAAAGAAGCTAAGTACTTTATATTAGGACTTGAGGGCACCCTGGGAAACAAGAAGACCTCACCTACACCTTACAAAGAAAAGAAAGACTTTGCTGTGAGAAGAAAAGACCCATTCACTATACTTTTTTCTGGGCTGAAGAGGGAAACGTTTCCCAGATTTTCACCATCTAGGTGCTCAGAGGCCTCTGCAGCCATAGGGGGCCCTGCTATGGCTTGAGCGTGCAGCATATTTTGGTGTCATCCACATAGTATTGATTTTACAGGCATGCTGGATGCAAAGGTTATGGGATCAAGGAAGCTTCCACCCAGATGTCAGAAGGCCTGGGAGGCCAGGCAATGTGCACCTGAGAAGGCAGTATATGAAGTTGTGAGAATGAAACTGAAAGTGCAGAGAGACCCCAGAAAAGTAGAGAAGCCAGGTATATGGAATGTCTGAGGAAAGCAGCAAGGAGTGACTAAAGCTAGCTAGCCCAAGAGAGAAGCCATAAAGGCTACAACTACCAGGAATCCCGTAGGGATTGGGCTACCCAAACCTTTTCAAGTTCATATTATCACAGCTTGCCATGGGTGCTGGACATGGAACTACAGGGTTTCATGTTTGCTTTGTTGGGTTTTGGTCTTGCATTGGTCCTTTTTTTCTTGTTGTTGTTGGTCTTTTTGAGATAGGATCTCACTATGCAGTTCAGGCTGACCTTGAGCTCACTTTGTAGCCCAGGCTGGTTTTGAATTTGCTGCTGAGTGCTGGAATTATAGGTGTACGCCACCACACCTGGCCCATGGTCCCATTCCTTTTCATCCTTCTGTTTCCCCCTTTTGGAATGGGAATGTTTATCCTGTGCCTTTGTATGTTAACAATTTTTAACTTTCTTTGGAGTTTTACAGGGGCTCACAGCTAAGAGTTTGCCTTAAGTTGCAGAGGAGGCTTTGGATTTGGACTTTTCAGCAACGCTGAAACTGTTAGGACTTTGTAAATTCTTAGAGATGTACTAAATGCATTTTGCACAGAGAAATACACATGAGTCTTTTGTGGGGCTGGGGATGGAATGTTGTTGTATAGATGGAGAGTGTCCCCCTCAAAGCCTCTTGTTCCTTTTGGGGCTTTTGGAAGGGTGATTGAATTGTGAGACTGCGATATAGCTGAGTTGGTGTTAAGAGATGGGATCTGGTCAGGGGAGGCAGGTTAATGGGAATGTGACCTGTAAGGGTGCGTCTCCCTGCCTGGCTCCTTCCTTCACTCTACTTCCTGGCTGCT